GACACGCTACAACTGACTTGAACCGTAGTGCTCAAGACTAGCATAACCATGGATTTAGCTATCGTCACATTATCGTCAAAGTAAATTCATGTAGCCAGGCAAACATGTACAGGTCATCCCTCCTGACTGATATTCGTGTAATAAATATACATACAATGACATAAAACATAAAAAAATAGTAAAAGAAAGACATATATCACAAAAAAAAATGAGGGTTGTTTAGTTAAAACAATAAAGACACAATGGAAAACGGGGAGAATGAGACGTACGACAGCAAAGAAAAACAAAAACAACACTAAAAAGGTCCCAACTTTGTTCTAAAACCATAAAGGCTGGGTTTCTATAAGAAATCAGTTCTGTTGGCAGCTCTTTGAAAGACAAACTAAAAACATTTCATATATATATATAATATATTTATATATTTGTATATGCCTATTTTAAAATTATCATTATTATTATTTACCAACTTGCATTTTCAATAATAATCATTTCCAAAGAAGTGAATCGAGAGGGAAGGGGCGGGCCTCAGTACAAGCCGCAGCCTCGCAGGTTGTTGGCGATGATGATGTCGGTCACGGCATCGAACACCACCTGGATGTTTCCTGTATCCGTGGCACAGGTCATGTGACAGTAGATCTCCTTATTAGGCGAGCGGTTCTTGCTTTCAAATTGTGCTTGGATGTAAGCAGCTGCATCGTCATAGGTGTTTGGACCTACCGAGGGAGACAGAGATCAAATGAGTATGTGAGATCTGATATTATGCCAAAAATAAAAATGACATAAAAGTGGCACTCTGATTCACAAATGTCTCTTCTCTTCCGTTCTCTAATAGCCATGCATTCTTTAACTTGGCTCCTTATGAAGCAAAAGTCCCATTGAGAAGCTGCTGTATCTTGGTTATGTATGAGACCATTTAGATCAAAATTATTTGAACACTTTTGAACATTTTAAGTCCCACTTAAAATGTCTAAGTTTCATTTCATTAGGAAAAAAAAAATCAAAACAAGATCTAATACTAGGCAATGCTTTTCTCAGATGTCCTAAGTAACCACAGATGGACTTTATCATATTATGGACATAAACAATATTGAACAATATATCAAGATGCTGAGATATTGCATTTATCAACTTATAATTACATTTATTGCTTAACTTGAGTTAATTATAATTAATTGACAAATTTAATTACATATACTTACATATACAAGTACTGTGTTTTCGAACAATATATTAAGATGTTAATTATACTGTTTAATAATTTAACCATTTACTTATTCATTTATAATTAGGTTAATTAATTATACAAGTTCATTATAATCAATTTGCACATTTTATTTAATTACATACACTTTAATTGTCAAAATGCTACTGTATTAAGTTTGAACAAAATATCAAGATGCTGCGATATTGTAAACTGTTTAATAATTTATGTATTAGTTTATACATATACTATACTTGTCTAAGTACTTTTGTCTTAATTCTGAACAATATATCAAGATGTGGAGACAGCTTTATTAATGTTAACATTGTAATTGTCAAAATATTTTTGTCTCAGATTTGCACAATATATTGAGATACTTAATTGTGATTTCAGTGTCCAAATGCTTTTTGTGGCCACTGTATGTGAAAAGCAACACTGAGGGTGCTGCTGAACAGGAACGGGTCTAACGGAGGCAGTGAATTGTATTCTGCCGTGAAGAGAGTTTGACAGACCTGCAGACATCCCTCGGAGTCTGTGCCCACCTTTTACCCATGACTGCACACGCAAGATTCAGCTACTGCTCCATCCTTTACCTCCCATGTTACAGTACCTTCCAAATGTAGTCTAGAGTTCATACTGTGAATCCAAACTAATGGGTTTTTGACATCACTAAGCCTGACCTGACCAATCACAAACATCCTTCTGTTCTAATGCAATGGTGTTACCAGAGTTAAAACCTGTACATTTTTACAAGCTTTTTAACAACAGGAAGCATTCTTACCTGTGTATTCAGGGAAACAGATACTCAGGGCAGATTTCTTGATCTTTTCAGCGAATAGGTCTTTCTTGTTGAGGAAGAGAATGATGGAAGTGTCAATGAAGAATTTGTTGTTACAGATGGAATCGAACAGCATAAGAGACTCGTGCATGCGATTCTGCAAGAGGAGAAGAAACCAGAATGGAGGATAGACAGAGAAAAAGAGGCAGACAGAAAAACCAGAAACGTTTAGTGGAGAAATACATACAGCAACAGTCAAGGTAAGCAACTACAGTAGCTGAAGCCCACAAAAAGCAAAGAAAGAAGCTACTGTTTCAACCTACATAAGTTTGGTGAAATTATTCATATCTGCTCAATCCAATAGTGATGATTCACCACAAAGATTCTAATTATACAGAGATTCTGTGTTTACTTGCAGAAGATGCAGGACTCGAAAATGAATGCCACACACCGGATTTCACAAGTACTTTATTCATTCATGTCATATAAATAGACATCCATTGTTCAATAAATAATCACAGCAGTGAGACACACATACAAACAATAATTACAGCAGTTTGACAAAAACAAACAAACAAAAAGTGATGGACGGTGAGATTACAGTAATATGTGTGATGGGAGAGCATGTCTGCCGGGTCCTTCTGTATTTAATCAGAATCAAATATGAATTAAACACTACAATGAAACTCACAATTTCAAATTTCAGCACAATCTCAAGTAAATTATGCTACATTAGCAAAATGTACCGCTTGAACTTATCACATTAGTCAGTCTGATGAAAGGAGTCTGGATACATCACCAACAGTTAGTTGTACTGCAGCTACAAGCCAGGGAACAAATTGGCTTTTGCCCCTCAGCAACGGACAGACTCAATTACCCTCGAGTTTCTTTACCTTGGCCACTGACCTAATTACACATGTGTCTGAGCTGACACTGACGTGCATTAGCCAGCCATCTCGTTACTCGTCATTATTTAAAATCATAATCCAAATTTTATGGCCCATCAAACTGGGACTACGGTCAAAGGAGTTTACTAAAAATGATACTGCTTTCCCTTTACACTCTTTATTAGAATGAAAGTCACTATGCGGCTACATATACACTCTCTAAATGTATGAAAACTGACCATCAATGGACCTGAACAATGGCTGAAAGGTGCTTAGTACTGACACTGGCCTTATAATAACATAACTGTTCATAGTTGGCACAATTCAGCATGTTTTACATCAAGCAAACCTTCAGATAGTATGTGTTTTGGCTTTTGGTTTATGAAAGTAATCACTGTCTTTTGGCTGTCTGAAGCGAACGATTGAATTCAATCATATTTCTCATAGATTAACAGTACGTTTAAACAGAAAAAAATATTTTCCCTTAATATTTTACTTTAGTCAGGGTGCATATGTGACCCTGGATCACAAAACCAGTCATAAGGGCCAATTTTTTTAAATTGAGATGTATACATCACCTAAAGGCTGAATAAATGAGCTTTCCATTGATGTATGGTTTGTAATGATAGGACAATATTTGGCAGAGATACAACTATTTGGATATTTGGAATCTGAGGATGCAAAACAATCAAAATACTGAGAAAATCGCCTTTAAAGTTCTCCAAAGGAAGTTCTTAGCAATGCATATTACTAATCAAAAATTACATTTTGAGATATTTACAGAAGGAAATTTACAAAATATCTTCATGGAACATGATCTTTACTTAATATCCTAATGATTTTTGGAATAAAAGAAAAATCGATAATTTTGACCCATACAGTGTATTTTTGGCTATTGCTACAAATATACCCGTGCTACTTATGACTGGTTTTATGGTCCAAGGTCACATATTATGAAGCTTGAACCTCTCAAAGACAGTCAAAGCAAAAGGTTAAGGGAGTCTCATTAAAATAAATACTCCACAGGGTCTTTCAGATAATTTAGTCATGCTGTGCTTCTGCTGCCAAATTATAATTTGTGTTGCACAAGATTAAAAATACTTTTCATCAGACATTAAAAAACGAAAGGCAAAAATCATTTAAAAGTCAACCTCTCTGAAAGTCACGGTATAATTCACACATTGACTAAAGTGATCCTATGGAGAGGTGAATATTAAGAAGCACTGTGTACACATATAGCAGCAAACATCCAAAGCATATATGGCACTGTGAATTACTGTCAATTACAGATCTGTATTTTCACATACACAGAGACGCAAAGCAGGCCAGGGTCTGAGTTCAATGCAATGCACGTGTCTGCCTACTTCAGATAAAGCAACAGCTCATCAGACCAAAGAGTCTTTTCAGCTCCGGTCCATTCAGTACCTGTTACATTCAGTCTCACCCCTAGATATGCCTAGGTGTACTGCACTACTGCATAATGTGACCAGCAATCAAGCAGGATAGTATAACATAGACTGAACTACAAACAAAACAGCAGACAATGTGTGGTCTGGTGAGACAGCTCTGAGATTCTATTACTGAATATGAAGCATATTACTCCAGTTGTTGCATATGTGCATGTGATTCTTATGTGTGTGTGTGTGTGTACCATTCAAAAGTTTGGGGTCAGTATCTTTTTTTTAAAGAATTAATACTTCAATTCAGCAATGATGCATTAAATTGATCAGTAAAGACTATTACATTGTTACAAAAATTTCAAATAACTGCTGTTATTAACTTTCTATTCATCAAAGAATCCTGAAAAATGAGTCACAGTTTCCATAAAAATATTAAGCTGCACAACTGTTTTGAACATTGACAATAATAATAATAAAACAATATTTCTTAAGCACCACATCAGCATATTAGAATGATTTCCGAAGGATCATGTGACACTGAAGAATGGAGTAATGAATGATGAAATGTACTGTAGCATTTCCATCACAGGAATATAATGCATTTTAAATATATTAAAATAGAAACATATACCATATATAAATATATATAAATATGAATATTAATGTCTTTTCTGATCATATAAAAGATGCAGCTGTGTTAAAAAAAATCTTGCTGACCCCAAACTTTAATGTACAGTATATATATATAGAGATGCATCAGATATGTATGTGGTACAAATCTAGTTATTATCTCTTTCTATGTAGTTATAATCAGCTTTGTCTGTTCTCAAAATGCAATAAGCTAAAAACAGTTAAGACAGCTTTTGAATCTTTGGAATGTTCTGGGTGTCTGGTTTAAAAGGTCCAAAATCCAATTTTGAGGAGTAACACGTCCTGTTGTTTTTTGGGATGCTAAGAGGCTAACATTTTTGTGGTTTGGCTCAGGGCATCGGACATTTGCACTCTCTTCTAAATGCCAAGTAAATGTCAAGCCTAGTGTTTCATCAACACTCTGAGATTGCTGCCAACTCAGAACACATGTAATATGAGCCAGCTTGTGAATATTCACTGAAATTCATATCCCATTATGCATTCATTTGAAAATAATACATGTGTATAGAACATCATTATAGTGCCACTTACATAGTCATGGGAATTTAAAATATTGCCACATAGCCTTGAATCTGGAATTATTTATCTTCATACTGTGTAATAAGGACAAAAGAATATGTCAGACTTTACTATTAATTAAGCTCAGTAAAGTAGTGGAAGTTTGGCACCAATTTTTACTTTAAAATATCTCCTGACCTCTCTCTAACACACCAGGAAGGTGTCAGCAAGGACATTCAAAGCACATTCCTGTATTTGTAACAATGTACCAAAATCAATAGTTGAGTTCAGACCTTTGGTTTAAATTTAGCACATAAATTAAAGAACAGCTCTGTGAGAACTATCGCCAGATTTGAGTTAGTTCTCACCTTATAAAAGGCCATCAAATGACCTGACAGACACAAGTGGAGACATTTAAAAGTATAAAACAAAGACAAAATGTCATATCTGATAACAGTTGACAGTGTATTCTGGGGTTGTGTAAGAGCTGGGCCTCACTGTGGGTTAGTAAAGGCCACAGAAGCGCAGGTTGTTAGCGATGATGACATCGGTGACAGCGTCGAAGACAAACTGAATGTTGTTTGTGTCTGTAGCACAGGTGATGTGTGAGTAGACCTCCTTGTCGACTGACTTGTTCTTAATCTCGTACTGGGACTGAATGTAGTCCACCGCTTCCATGAACATGTCTGAACCTGCAGCACAGGATGAGTAAATAAGAAGAAGTAAATAAAAGAAAACAGCGAGGGAGGCAAAAAATTGTGATAAAAAAAAGGCCATTTTTTAAAATAAAATAAAATTTGCAAAGGGGAGCAAAAAAAGAATAAAAACAATGGTGGTAAATGTAAATTGGAAACTGAACACTAAAACGAAAAACTAAAAACAAAAACAAAAAAAACAACAGCATGCACATATATGATTTTTTTTTACAAAGTAATAAAATCATTTACTACTAACATAGAGATTATATATATATTCAAAGATATATTATTATATATATATTTGAATATATATTCAAAGGCATCAAAACTTCAGACACCAGAAGAAAAATACTGAGCAAAAGTATTTATTTTTGCAAAAAAAATGTTTGTAGATAAGTTTTTCCTTCAGGCAGCGAAAATTTATTCAGGCAACTTTTCCCTGACAACAGTTACTCAGCACATTCTCAGGAAAGATCTTTCTGTCTCTCAGACTTATTTGTGATTGTTTGTGCAGCCTGTCTTCCATATATCATTCAGTATAACAGGTGAGGAAATGTTTAAGAGCAGCTATGGAGAAGGATGAAAAGCTCAGAGTTATAAAAAAACAATGAACAGGGAATAGCAGGTGACTGTTTTGGCTGTTTTCCCCTCATTGCTGGAAAATACAGAAATGTAGGCTGTCCAGATTAGGGGTGTGAATCCATCCACAAGGAATAAAATAACAGGATGGTTCTTCTCCTGAAGATTTATTGTGCTAATTGGCTTCTGGAGAGTGTTATTCTACAATCCTCTCCTCATCAGTTATTTTGTCTTTCTTCCTTTGCAAGCATTTCTTAACACCAGGATAATGAGTTTACCTGTGTACTCTGGGAAGCAGATACTTAAGGGAGATTTCTTAATTTTCTCCTCAAATATGTCCTTCTTGTTGAGAAAGAGAATGATGGAGGTGTTTGTGAACCATTTGTTGTTGCAGATGCTGTCAAACAGCTTCAAGGACTCGTGCATGCGGTTCTGCAGAAAGAAACATAAGACATCAACATCATTTACAGACGTGCATCCACAAAAACAGACATACATATTTACTCGGCTATAAATGGGACATATTTATTATGGTTTTTTAAATATAATCTTACACATGCATAATCCAACCTTTAAAATAAATATTTTAGCATTTTTAAAATAAAAAAAATAAACAAAATCATATATTTAGATTATATATACAGATTTAGCTCACAAAATTATCCCCAAATTACAGCTAAGTAAACCCACATACACACACACATTCAGGTGCAATCACACTTTGAGTGCAAAATTAGAATATGAAGCGAGACATGAACAGAAAAAAGAAAGGAAATTTAACAAAGAGCCAAGAAGCCAGAAAAGGAAATTAAACATATTCTGCTACCTAAGAAATTAATTACTTATCTCATCATGATGGTATACAATGAATCTCATGTTAATTATAATGAGAAAATGATAGATATACACTGTCCTTATTTTCATATGCAATTAATAAATTATGATTCTGCTCATTATTTGTTTGTCATCTGAATGCTAATTAATTCAGAGTTGGAAGCAGTGACTCTCTCTTTGATGCGTCCGATCATTTTAGGAGGAAACTGGAAAAAACGAGGTCAGCCGATCCCTTTAGCCAGCAACAACCAATTAAAAATTGAGGTTTTGGAAAGAACCAGCAATGCATCTAGAATATCTGATATAATTTAGTGACTGAAACTAGCATATATCAGAAACAAGCAAACATTTAAAGGGGTAGTTCACCAAAAAATTAAAATTCTGTATGACATTCTTTCATCTGTGAAAGACAAAGCAAGATTTTCATCCATACAATTAAAGTCAATGGGGTCCAAAACAACATCTGAATCCACTGACTTTCATTGTATGGATGCAATATTTACATAAAAATTGCTAGTAAATTTTTAAGTAGAAAGGCGGAAATAGTATATTCTTGTAAAACATACTCCAATAATCTTATTATATAAATATTATTTGCAAATAAGATAAGCATACATTTTATTTACAGCTTCAAAAAATCATTTTTACAGTGTGTAGAGAATTTAATTGAAATGATAACAGAATTTTCATTTTTGCCTTTCATTTTTCTATCGGTTTAATTTACAGCACAACATAAAGCCTACTGCTTCCAGCTCTTTTTAGTATGTACTTCAACTGAGGTTGGTAATGATCATTTCATACCTGTGGAAGGGCCGCCTGTAGAGCTGGGCTGGATTGTTTAGCGATTGGTTAGAGAAGAAAGCCGATGGCGAGAGATGACAGGAGAGCAGCTGAGATGTTTTGAAGGAGAGACGCAAATGCAGAGGTGGCCGCTGGAGGCCACGGGAGCAGCCGAGCGGAACCGGACATGCACCAGAACCCAACACTTCACCACTTCACTCACATATCCCACCCCCAGATACCACTGCTGTTGGTACTCACACGTACAAACACACACACTAAAATGCTAAACAACAGTGGAGCAATGCAGAATCGGTCCATGCGTTGTCACAAATGAAGAAAAGAACAGCTCTAAACAAAAGTCTCACGCGGGTCAAACTTGAAGGAACACACAGTGTTTGAAGAAAATAAATGCATGTCTGTGTTGAAACGGAGGAGGAAAGGCCACCGGGTGCACAGGAGAGAAGGTCGGGACAGAATGTCAGACGGCAAATGCGTAAACACTGATAGAGCGCTGAATGGACGAGCACTGACAGGAGACAGGATCTGTATGTGTGTTTATCTCTGTCCGTTTGTTTCGCCAGGACTTTCTTACAGAATAATAGAATCTGTCTTCGTTTTTTATCGCTTCCATAGATCAGGTGAATATGGGCGCCTGAGAGTTGCTGTATTTATGGGGAGCCACTTTTCTAGCCATAAAAGCCCTCCTATGTCCAAAACGCGTCACCGTAAATCCCTCTGTTGTAAAAATTCTCTTATCAGAGTTTGTCAAGAGAGCGTGTGTCTGGGCAGATCTGAGGCCTGTGTCACACACAGACGTCCAAGCATGACTCATCACACCTGCCATGAATCAATTGGCACAGTCACAGAATCAATCAATAGCGTGGGGACATTAATAATTCTTTGTTTTTTTCTTTTAAAGGACACTGTAAAAGGGTTCACAGAACTTAAAAAGAAGTTTGAATGGCTTTGTGTTGAACTTGTCTACTTAACGCCAAGTTCTGTCCTGAAACGCTAGTTGGCGCAGGCAAATGGGCCCTTAACTCAAACTGATGATATTCACAGCGTTAAACTACCTGGCACAAGCTGATTGGTTCATGCTGCATACACAGCCAATGAGCTTGCTGCTTTATATTTAAATGGATAGTTAGCATTCACTAGAGCCTTTTGCAGCACGCTTTCAGAGTTCCTCTGAAACCCTCCACCTTCCCCAGCTCCACCTGTATAGATCTGTTACGGGCTATTTGCATATATAATGTTTAAATACAGTTTATTAACTTTATAATATTTTTATTTTATTTTATTACTTTTATTACACTATGTCAACTTAACTGCAGTTCCCTTTATTTAGTATTTTTAAACTGCTAAATTTAATATACTTATGTGTATGTCATCTCATGTTGTCTATGAGAAATGGACATGGTGAGCAAAGTGCCTGTTAAACTAATGACAACATCAGGAGACAAAACACAGCCTACATGCCGACCTCAACACGTGACTAGGGTAACAATCAACAAAATTCATCCTGACATCACAAGACAAGAAGTTACTAAACGTGTTGCAAAAACATAAAAAAACTGGAAAATTTCCAGACACATGCAACCATATTATTCATTCATGCCCCAGTGGGAACCCCAGCACTCTGAGAAACCATTATTGTGCGCGGCTAGTTAGCAGAGGATAAGCATTTGCAACACAGACATGACAGCTACAATACTCAAAGCTATGCCATTATTAGACCTATCCAAATAATTGTTTTGTTTTTAATTAAATTTGGCTTAAATTTGATGGTACAGTGTTTGGGGCATCAAAACATGACCCATGATTCAAACCCAGGCCACCCACATTTTAGAGCATGTTTGCTAGCAGCTCATCTCCAACAGGCTTACAAAACTGAATGCCAATAATAATGAAATAAATACAAATGCTAATAATGATATTATTATTTTTTCACTATTATTTACTATTTTTAAGAATTTTACAGTACGCACAAGATGACACATACAGCATAAGCATTACCTATGTGCCGATTAGTGTGGGAGTTCACAATGGAGGCCTATTTTATCAACACCACTGACCTTAAAAATTTCTAAAAACCCGCTAAACAAAAAATGTTGCCGTTTTAATTATAAGGCAGTGAATGATCACACAGCATATCTTGTTCACTTGAATGGCAACATAATTGCAATTACAATGTTCAACAGTGGATGAAGATCATGTAGCCTGCATGTAGTTACAGCAAGTGCTGTCCATCAAGTTTTGAAGTCTTTAAGTTAATCTTCTCCGAGGCAGCTCTTTTAAAGCATGAGAAAATGTTCAAATACCCATAAATCATTTTTTTTAGTGTGTTAAGTGTGCACACTTGAGTGTATATGAAACACAGACGCTGAGTGTGCGCATGCAATTGAGTCTGTGTGTGTCAGAGCTTAAGCACAGATGTGCGTGTTTGTGTCTCTGCGTGTGAGTGTGTATTTAGTGCTCACCGTGGTCTCGTCTTCATGGAGCACCTGGTCGTATCCACTCAGAGCCACACAGAAGATAATGGCGGTCACGTCCTCAAAGCAGTGGATCCATTTCTTCCTCTCCGACCTCTGACCTCCCACATCAAACAGCCTGAGTGGACACAACTCGGCATGAGCTCAGAACACAATAGTGCACTGCATCATGCAAACAACATTACCATTCAGTACATTTTTTTCAAGAAATGAATACTTTCATTCAGCCAAGGACACATTAAATTAATCAAAAGTAAAACATTAAAGACATTTATAATGTTAAAAATCACAGTTTCCACAAAAAGGGATCATGTGACACTGAAGTTTGAAGTAATGGCTGCTGAAAATTTACCTTTGCCATCACAGGTATAAATTACATTTAAAAAATGTTAACAGAGGAAACACTGTAATAATATTTCACAATATTACTGTTTTAATGTTTTTTGATCAAATAAATGCAGCCTTTGTGTCAATTATGGTTATACTTGTTGAGACTGTTATATGACTATGCTTTAATAAGCCCTAAATCTTAAATCTGTAATTATTTTCACTTAATATCATTAGCAGATGTGTCATTCAGATACTAGTATCTGCTTCAGATTGAACATGTAATTCAGCTGTCAACTGAGGTCCTGCCCTTTTCTACGAAAATGCTAGCTTCTGCTGTAACAGTATGGTTTGTTTCTAAATCTGTCTTCAGAATAATGGTGGCAGATCTGTCTGTCTATCTCCCATCAACACTTTTATTTTGGTCTTCCGTTTTCACGTGCTATCAGCTGAGAGAGTGTAAAAAACCCTGTGAATGAGGAGATGATATGAAGTGAGATGATGTCGGTGTTTGGAGATATTCATCTGCATTAATCTCAGTCTACAACCACTCCAGTTGTAACGTGAGTCAAAAACACTTTTTGCTACATATATTAGATCAGCCTTTTTTCATCTGAAACATGGCCCAATTATGAATCATGAAAATGATAAAAAAAACTGTAGTAATCTAAAATACATTACAAAATAAATTCCACGCCAATCAGTCTCACCTGAAGTGCAGGTTCTTGAAGGTGAAGTGGGTTTCTACAATCCCGGTGGTCTTCACTCGAGTTCGCAGAATGTCCTGCTCTGTGGGCTGGTAGTCTGCAGCACCGATCCGATCTAAACTGTCTAAGTAACTGAAGGAAGAAAGAAAGAAGGAATGTCAGTTAGGACCCACAGTTTTTCACAGAAACTGCCATTCACATGAAGTAGAAAAGTGATACTAGTAGCTTTTCAACCAAGGAAATCCAGAGTGTTGTTTTTATTTCTTAATGCATAAAAATATCATAAATCAATCTCTTAAAAGAGTGTTTGTGAATACACTAAACAATGAAAAACAGTATTTCAGCACAAAATCCTGTATTTTATTCACTAACCAGCCACAAAATAGTTGAATAGTTGGGTGTAAAATGCATTCGAATAGTGTTGTCCTATATTTAAATACAGTAACTTCCATTATTTTTTTCAGCCAAAAAAAAAAAAACATCTTTTCAATATACATTAGACTTATAGCTTGCACTAAAACTAAGAAAGAAATTAAAATACTTTCATTCATCAAGCATGCATTAAATTGATCAAAAGTGTCAGTAAAGGCATTTACAGTATAATGTTACAAATACATGCTGTTTTTTTTTTTAACTTATCACTACAAAATGTCTCCACAAAAATTATGTCTGAAGGATCATGTGACACTGAAGCCTGGAGTAATGACTGCTGAAAATTCAACTTTGCCATCACAGGAATAAATTAAATTTTTAACATTTTTTAATTGTAATATTATTTAACAATATCACTGTATCTTTGATCAAATAAATGCAGCTTTGCTCAGCACAAGTGCCAAACGTATTACAAAAATTAATTCTTAGTGATCTCCCCTGTCATCTTTTGTTGACAGTTTCTCATTTATGCTCTGACAGAAAAATTACTGCTTTTCATTTAATAGATTCATCAAATCAGATGAGAGCCCATCTCACTAAAGTCACAATCTTAGACACAGGAAGTCAATCAGACTACAGGACATAAAGTATAGGTCAGAATAAAACATTAAACATCCTTCTTGTGCCACTCACAGCTGACACACACATGCACACACTATCCCTCTTCAAAACGCAACAGTGATGCAAGCAGACAGGGAGGACCGAGCCTGCTTTTCAACAATGCGTGATGCATATTCTCCAAGGCTGTGGATGTCATTTATCTTCCAGATGAAAGAAACAGTGAAATATGTGTGCCTCCAAATTGGATGCCAGTTGAATTGAAGGTTGAGTACCGCAAGACGCCGAAACATCCATCAAAGCCTTTGGCTGGTAATACTGGTAGACACTAATGGATGATTACATCAAAATGCAATTCCAAAAATGTTTTGACACATTTAGAGGGAAATTACCGCTGGAAACGTATTTGGTTCTTAAACAACTATAATTCCGGATCAGTTCGATTTTTCATTTTGTACCCTGTGTAATTATATCTTGTATGCTTAGGAGTACATGCTGCTCTTCCCCTTTATTTTTTGCTTCTCTCTCTTTCTTCTATCCCTCCTTTCCTGTCCATCTGTGGCAAAGTGATGTTGCAGTTGAAGGTTTCCTTGGTTGCTGCAGAATTCTTCAGGGAAATGTGAACATTCCGCTGTCGCTACTGTCTTCAGCGCTCAACTACACCAAAGTCCTTTTAAAATGAAATTCCTCCTATAGCTACACAGCTAAATTCTATGTACAGTAACGTTTGGGGTTAGTAAGACTTTTTTAATCTAATACTTGATTAATGAAAGTATTAATTACATAAATACTTTTATTTAGCAAGGATACAATGAATTCATTAAAAGCAACAGGAAAGGGATTTATAATGATACAACAGATTACTATTTCAAATAAAAGCTGTTGTAGCATCATATGACCCCTTTAAGTTTCTATTCATCAAATAATCCTGAAAAAAATGTGTCAGTTTCCACAAAAATATTAAGCAGCACAACTGTTTTCAAAATTGATAATAATACTGAACATTATTTGAACACTAAATCAGCATATTAGAATGATTTCTGAAGCATCATGTGACACTGAAGGCTGCATTTAAAAAATATTAAAATATAAAACGGTTATTTTAAATTGTTATACTACTGTGTTACTGTTTTAATGTTTTACAAACAAATGCAGCATATGTGAGCAGAAGATACTTCGTTTAAAGACATTTAAAAAAAACATACAAATCCCAAACTGTTGAACGATAGAGTAGTATCTGCTCAAATCTACTTGAATGGGTTAAGATATAAGTCTGCAAAGCTGTTTGTCAAGATTGTGAGGCTCTCAAATCTGACAACGACACCATAAATTCAGCTTCTCCACCTCAAATCAAGCTTAAAAATCCCTGTACTCTTTAGGTCGGTCTAGCTAATGTGTGAAATCCTGAGTAAACAAACAAGTGTATGAAAATGGCAAATGACACTGAAAGGCGGGACGCCCTACAGCCACCATATTGAGTGCTACATTTCATTATTTCATTAATTTTTCTGTGACTCATTCGTCTCCTCCCCCTTACACTGTCCCTGGCTACGCATACGTACTTCTGACCTCATAACATCCTCTCCAGCAAATAATTCCACATACAACAACATGCAGCCTAACTAAACACTAATTTTAAAATGATTCAGTGATAAACAGCAGTTAAATATCTGATAATAATGTGAAATGTCCTGTGCCAAGTATCCACAGATGTAGTGACACGGAGTCAGATTCAGCAGCTGATACAGACACAGGCTGCAACTGATATAAGGCCCAAAATGGGGGAAGAGAGTAGAAAGAGGCTGAAAAATAGAAATAAAAGAATTAAGACAGGAAATGAGGGCAAGGTCTGTGACATGAGAGGTCCAAAAATCTCAGACCAATGGGAAGATCTGGAAAACAGAATCTATTTTAAACCTGGGAACAAACTGAAAGTTTTAGCATTTTGAAAATGTTAAAACAGAGAAATTATATGACGTAAACTGAAGATTCTGCACTATTACTAGGATATTAATATAATGCCTAAATTGGTTTCATTGGAATACAATTCTCAGATGTCCCACTGTATATTCTAAGTCCTATATGGAAAGAATATACCATCAATAAAACATATTCATATGTATTTTGCATATTTCTTTTCCTGTGGTTCACCACACTGACTCTAGAGGGTGCTGTTGCTGTGACTGTAACTTGCTAAGTTTTATTAGTGGTGCTTTTGGTTTGCATGATTGCTTAGTGGCACTTAACTCGAGTCTACAGTAGTACCTGACACAGAATGAACTTAAGTACTCAAGTATGAACTGCTCTCATAGGACATAGTCTCAAATGAGACATCACTTGAACAGCACTAATAAGGATAACCATCCACTGACATTATTTTTAATCTCTTTTCTTTGATAGTGTTAGTGCTACCTCACTCTCTCTCTCTCTCTCTCTCTCTGGGGCATCTTCCTTTGTGACCTGTATCTGTTAGCTGTGCACGCTTTCCTCTCAGCATAGTTTGTCTATTAACAAATAGCAGATTTAGGGCAGCTATGTTAACTGAGGATTTCCATAAGCCTTTTTTTTTTTTTACTAAAGCCTACATTTGACTAAAGGCAAATTTCACTGGAGTCATGGTTCAAAGTTTTAAACATAGATAATAATAAGAACCATTATTAACATTTGAGAAGCACAAACAATAATAATATATATATATATATGCCAAATACTGTACTTCATGAACAATTTCATACTATTTTTGTTTAAAAGTGACCATCAAGACATTTATAATATTACAAAAGATTTCTATTCATCAAAGAATGAATCATGGTTTCCACAACAATATTAAGCTGCCAAAGTTTTAAAAAATGATGATAATAATAAGAACCACTATTAATATTTGAGCAGTTCAAATAATAATTCGTAATTCTGGAGCGCCAAACATTTCTGAAAGATGAAGTGGCAGGTAATGGCTGCTGAAAAATAAACTTTGATACTACAGAAATAAATTACATACTAAAATATATGAAAATAGAAAACTTGAGTTTTTAACTATAATAGGATTTTACAATATTACTGTTTTTTACAGTATTTTGATCAAATAAATGCAGCTTTAGTGGGCATAAGAGACTTATTATTTTTTTATATAAAAAAATCCTAATTATTCCAAAAAAGCATTTACACACATTTATATTTGTCTGTGTGTATCACAAAATAATATCATAATGCGTTTCAAATCTATGCCTGTTTAGTTGGCCGTAGGTGCAGAGAATATACACATTAAGGAAGAATTGTGTGCTTTTGTGTACAAGTCTGCATGTGCGCAAGCGCATTTTGATATTCGCAGCAGTGCTAATTGTTTTTTTATTATCTCCTATGTACTCAATGCCCTGATGGTGTTCTGAGGAGTAGCTGTATGTACTATTGTAAATCTTTTATAAATACGGCAACATGCTACGTGGACTTCACTCCGTCGTTTTAGGCCTAATAGACATGCGGGCGGGGTTGTGCTGTAGGGTTTCTTCACTTCTCTCTCTCCTTTTAGTATGGGAAACTCGTATCTCTCTACCACTCAGGCTGCTTGCCAGCTCTGCCCTGCCCCCTGCTCCCTCTCTCTCTCTCTCATACTCCATCTTTCTTTCTTTCTCCCTCTGTTTCCTGCTGCTGCTTGAGTGCTCTGCCTGGCAACACCTCTCAGCGGCCTGCCTGCTGTCTGCTGCTCCCCATCATGGAGAGAGAGACAGAAAGATGTGCAGGAAAAAGAACTACAGGGCATTGGAGACATTGTTAGCACATTTATTGTTGTAACAAAACGGTCTGAAATTCTGGGTGCTGCAAGAATGCTACAATGAGCCTATTCACTGATTCTTAAGGAAATTGTAGTACAGTGTTATAATTAATATAGATTGTCAAAGAAATAAGGGAGACTTGACCTCTGGAATTAGCATGCTGTTGCTTAAAAGGGATAGTTCACCCAAAAAATTAAAATCATGAGTCGTTTCAAAAACCTATATGGTTTTCTTTCCTCTGTGGAACACAAAACACACACACACCCAAACACACAGACATTTTTCAAAATCTTATCCTTTGTCTACAACATAAAATAGTAAATGATGACAGAATTTTTGGGTGAATTATTCCTTTAGGTATTTTAACTGTCTAATAAACTCTAGTGTAAAACTATTACACTTTAAATACAGATAAGTTTTGCTTGCCATATATATATATATATATATATATATATATATATATATAAAATGGGGAAAAGAAACTTTAGCAGCAACTCTCATTGCTGAGAAACTTTCTTGACAATGACAAATAACCTTGCGAGGATACAAGTCATTTCGATTGCGACAGAAAAGTCAGTAAAGATACACTATCAAAAAATTGAGAATAAGTGAAACTTCCTACATCTTCTGAAGGCAAAGCCACTGAAGGTTCATCTGAAAGATGAAACATTTATCACAGAATGTCATTATACTGTCCAAGACTTCAATAAGAACATAGAGTTTTCCTATTTTTGCTCTGGAAACGTCAAGAAAGAAGGTGCTGAACTGAAAGCAGAAGGCATTAGAATTCTGACGCGTTTCTTATAACCTGAAGTGGAACATGCTTCTCGTTAATACTATTAAAAAACAAAAAAATACTGAAGAAATGAAATTAGCAGACCTACAATTGAAAAGAGGAAGACAAAATGAAAAATAAAACTGATCAGGAACAAAGCTGAGAGGACAAGAGGAACATAACTGGAGAAGTGGGGAATGATTGCAGTGTGGAAGAGGAGGAGCTTTTAAAAGGTTGGACAAGAGTGGATAAACTCCTCTATGGCACCATAAAGTGGGCAGTATCAGAGTTACACAGTGGTGAGTGGTGAGTGTGAGAGAAGAAGAGGGGAAGCACAGAAATAGTGGAAGAACTTCAGATAATGATGGAAGTTTTCCAGAGAACAAATGACTGAGGGCCAATCTAATCCTGTTTCAGCATCTCACTCTGGGAAAGACCACTGTGCCTCAGTCTGAAATGTTCTGAAATGTCTCCTGATATTCAAGTTGCAGTCCAATAGGGAGAAGAAAGACAAGCCTACAGCCTAAAGACATGTGGAAGCCAGTATGCTGTACACTGTAAAAAGCCGGTGTGGATAAACAGCCCAAAGGAAATGATCTCGAGTCTCTCCTGAACTATTTTCTTTAGTCAGTGATTGATGTGAAAGAATGGCTTAATGACATACACGTTGTACCTGTCAAGCTGGCTATGTCTAAAGTGTAAATACACAGACACACACACACACACAAATAAAAGCTAAGAAACATAAACACAGGTGTACAGCAGTGCACAGTTCTTGTTTCTACTCTTGTAGCTACTGAATCTAGAGCAAAAGTACATAGAAATATTTGAAGCATATGTTTGCAGTCTGAGTTAAATGTGATGGGATAAAAAGACTGGGCACTGCAAAATAAAACAAAGACTCTAAAGAGAATTTACTAGATACTATATATTGTGACATACAAAAAAAACACACGACCAATATTAAAATACATCATAGAATAATAATAAAATAATAAAACAATACTATTAAAATATAAAAGATATAAAAAAGTAAATAAATATAAAATCAATCTAAAATATAATTATTTTAAAAAAAATTATATTTAAGAAGAAAATAGTATTGTTTGAATTAAATAGGAAACAATGCGACTAAATGGGTTATATTATGACTAACAGGGTTATCTGAATAAAGACCGTAAGCAGACTATATGATCTAATGAAGGTTATGAATGGAAAAGGTCTTTTTCATGTAAATATGTGTGTTGTGCATTCACAGCACTCTATTGAAATTAAATTCTTACTGAAGAATTACAGCTTTTTAAATATTAGCAAGGTTACTGAACATGGAAAAAAATACAACGACTGAATGTGCTAATATAAAAAAAGACTATAAAACAGTAAATATCGGTCAGCCATACAGCGGTGAATATCCTTCAGCAATCTTTCACAAACACATAAACCCTAAGATTAAATATATTGTCCTTGTACCATTTGATATTTGTTTTCATACACCTGAACTCGACACCCCACTGGCAACTGTTTGTCTTACTGATCACTGAACAAAAGGCAGAACATTTATGCAAATGAAGAGGGGAAAAAAAAACGTCTCTATTAAAGACTTGTCTAGCAAACTCATTTTTGGCATCCTAAACAGTCCTTCCCCTCCCAACATTTGCCTCATAGCAACATAATCTATGTTGTCAATATGTGAGCAAGTAATTTGTCTTTATCTAAACACCACTTCCCACAATGACAGGCTTCCCAAACTATTACAGTAAACCACAACATCAGAAATATAATGCTGACGGAACTTACACACATGCACACATACATAATTCGAGACCTTTCATCAGCGCACACTGTAATTGCATCTGTAAATTCACTTCAGAGTGACATTTTGCTGAGCTCAAGTAATACTCTAAAAGCAACCTGTTCAAACAAGCACTGGAAATAAAGATTATACATATTATGCTGTAGACACAACCTTATGTGGCCACGTTCAATTTACAGTCCATAAAATATATGCCCTGTGGATAGTTCTCTAAAATGAACTGGACTGCAGTGTGATGGTCAATGATATAATAAAAGATTGGTATATTTAGGCAGAATGCTCTTAATGAAGTGTAAAGCACTAATGGCTCTTCCCAGCAGAGGGCTGTACTCACTATTGGGCGGAGTCATTGAGCTGGTACTCGCGGGCACGGCTGAAGCACTCCTGGATGCCTGAGTCAGACCACAGGCGGATCATGGCGGACAACAGCTCTGGAGAGTAGGGCTCGGTATCCTCCATACGGCTCACAACATCGCAGACCATCTTAGCATCAGCCTGTTAAAAGCAAACACACATACAGAATATCCATCAGTGTGATGAGGAGACTTGCAAACAGAACAAGTCACAAACTGTGCTCCAAATTGTACACATTTTGAGATAAATTATTCAATATAAATATGTTCACATCCAATATATAAATACATAGACAATATATACCCACAACATCCTGACTTCCTTTTTCACTCTTCCATCCCTCTTACTTCCTCTGTCCTCCTCCTATGATATCACTCCCTTTAACAAACACGTTTAAAAAGCTTGACAGCAATAATGACTTCTGAAAAGAGCGTTTAGTTTCTTTTAAAGAGGTCACAATTGAGCTTACTAGACGAAGGCGCTGGGTTCCGCCGTCCCGCAAATCCACAACAGAGATGCAACTACACAAGCCAAAAGAGGAGAGCGTGAGAAATGGACTGGATGAGGGGAGTGAAAAGAAAAGACCCATGTTAAATAGAGAGTGGAAGAGAAGATGGGGGTCAGTTCAAGAAGGCTGGTCTTGCACCCTCTCCATTATCTGCTGTGAGAAAGAGTAAAGTGTTCACACACTAAAAGGAGTGAGATGTGGGGGCCTGGGAATTAAAAAGATGGGAAAAAACAAAGCATGGATGTCGCTAATTAATCCATAATTAATGCAAATGCTATTTTGTGAAGTTTTTCTACTGTGAAGATGCAGATATATTCCTCTCCACTGAGAAAAATGGATGCATCTTCCGAATGACTTGTCAATAGGGACAGATATTGCTGCCATCTCCATGGTGATGCAGCGGGGGCAGCATCAGCAGCAGGAGGCCTTATGATTGGCTGAGGAAGCCTCCCTTTCCTTCTCCCCCAGTGAGTGTGACCTTTGAGAGCAAGTCCTCTGAACTCAGCATGACTGAACCTTCTGGAGTCCTTATACCTAACACACACACACACACACACACACACATCATACTGTATTTAATTCTAATAGATTATTCTATCAAAATTTTTTTTTTTACAAATTAAAAATGAATTTAGTAATAATATTAGTGAAACAAAATGTACTATTAATGGTTATATGTATAACAATCTACAAGAATAATGAACTGCAGTTTAAAGCTTCATAACACAACATGAACCAGAGGATTACTTCAACATCACCCCTTCCGGGGAATTATGGGACATCAAACTGGTGTCCACAGGCTCTTTGAGCCTTTATAGTGGCAAATGCCTCAGTCCCAGAGCTGGAAGTTTGCAATGGGAACATTTTTGCCATGCATTTCTCTTTTGATTAAAAAAAGCAGCAAGAATAATACTGACAGATTCAGCAGACACACACCTGTTTCCTTTTTCTCTGTGCATTTCTTGCAGGTGGGTCTGTCTCTAATGTCACAATGCTGGTCATGCTTCTCATTCTTCATTTGCTCTTTCTACCTGTGCTTAAGGTTTTTTTTTGGCGTGTGGCACTGAAGGAGAATGTGATTCCTGAGTGATTGCCTATTGAATTTAGATCAGGCTCATAGAGACACATAATAGCTATTCATTAAGGTCTTTGCACAGACTAAAGAGAATGGACCAATCTTCATCAGCATTCATTTATTAGAGGAAACAGCGCGAGGAGAGAACTCAACACGCTGTAGATTTGAATTGCAGATCAGTCAGTAGCCCAGCGTGACAGACAGTATCCTTGCAGACGCCCTGACACGGCACCTGTTTATGAGCACAGCTATCATAAGAGTGACGTAAGAAGGCACTGTGAACTCATTATAACACATGTACAATAGAACTGTCATTTGACAGTAAATTCTGGATTCCTCAGAGTATTATTAGGTTTTTGTATCACTCTTGTTGATTGTTAAGGGCGACACTGGTTGACACAACACAATGGTGTCTGTGTCTGGTATTGTTAATGCAATATGCAATAATACAGGCTAGCACAGTAGTATAGTATCTATAGTCTGGCTAGGTATCGGCAACTACCTCATGATATGTTACATCTCACAACCTGATTAATTATGTGACATCTTAACATGATCACTGCTGAGAGATACTCAAAATATCCACGAGTGAATTTGCTCATTTGCTTTTGCAGTAATTAAAAACTGTACGAAATTATAGTATTGAATGAACAAAAATGAAAGAATTAATAAATGGGCCTCATTTTATAATGTAATATCAAGAGAAAAACATTCCTAAATGCAAACAAATAAATGAACAAACAAATGAAAGGGCCTAAAAGACTGTCTCAATATCATGAAAAACGACTGAAAAAAAGGAATTGATGATATATTGTTAATATATTCACAAGAATTTGTGATAAATCTACACAGTATGATTGTGTCTGCAAAGCCCTAATACAGGCCTTTCTCATATAATGTGAAGTAGAGTGAAGGTCAAGTGTAATATGGCATAATCAATCTAGTCATCTTGAATCAGTTGGCTTCTAATCTTGCAATGAACAAGAGAGTAACATACAGTCCCTCATGAGCCCCAAGGCCTGTGGTCTAATAATCTATCACTGACAATGGCAACTTTTGTCTTCAAACTAGCACAGAGGAAAAGAGATGCTCCGCTTTGCTGAAGATATATAGACCCTGCTCAAGTACTTTATCAAAGGCAATGACACATCTCCCTAGACATGGATTTAAACTACAACTCATCTTTCCAAGGTTACAACCACAGGCATGTGGTGGACTTCTTAAGTAAGGAGACTGAGAGGTCATTAAAAAAAAAGAAGTTTAATGTATTTCAGTATGGACATGACCAAAAGAGGTGCTGTGAGTGGGAGGATTGCTAACTCAGTAACCAGCTTATTTTCCGTAATTTTTGAGAATCTGTGGAACTTCACATTCATACCACAGTTTATCTATGAGAACTCAAGAGAGCAAAAAGAGACATTTCCCCCCTCTGAAACTTTAGTAGACTTTTTAGTGTCGAGGTTAGTGTTCAGGAACTAAAAATTTAGGAACATTTTTTAATTTTACTGTTTCATCTCATATTTTATAGTATTTGTTTTGGATGTATTTCTGTCAATTACTTTCTCTGAGAAAACCCCCCAGATTCCTAATTTCTAATGTTATGATTTGAGCAGTAACAAGAGTCCTTATAAAATTTTTCAAATAAAATATGATTTTATCTCAATGACTTTCTGAGGCGTCCTGTAAGAGGGAAACGCTATTAGCTGTACTTCATTTAATAACCATTGCTGATGTTAATAGCACAGACATGTCAAAGCCAGAGATAGTCAAGTACTGGGAAATCTACCTACAGGCAAAGTCCCTTCAGATAGACACACACACACACATGCACACGCACACACATTCAGTACTATTATGGATGTGCTTTAATTAGAAAACAGGATGGCATGTGATTGACAGTGATGACATCTCTAATTCATCTTTCACTGACACTGAAAAAGACAAAAGATTCCCTTGTTCATGCACTCCATTTATTTTTCTTGGTACTTTCCAAACAGTGCTGTTTAATCACAGTAAAATATACATAAAGAACAGCGCCGCCCTAGAGGATGCCTGGGGAACTTTACAAAATGAGAAAACGTGTTACTGAAATAAATGAACTTTTCCACGACATTCTAATTTATTGAGATGCACCTGTATACAACATTACCTGGGGCCACCCTAGATCTTTACCGTATTTTATCAAAACATGCTAATCCTGATAATGCATCATGCTAATCATGTTAAAATATTTTAGGAATTTCACATTTGGGTCTACGTGAACTAGCCTTTAGTTTTTCAAAGCATCCTTATCACCTTTAGGTATTGTACAGTATGGCGCTAGCAACCCCAAGGTTATGGGTTCGATTCCCAGGGAATGCATAAACTTATAAAGTGTATATAAACTTGATATATATAATTATGTTAATATATTTAAGGTATATGGTGGTTGTGTCTATGTGAACTAGTCTTTAGTTTACCAAAGCATCCTTTTGGCCTCTAGTAGTGCACAGCACGGCACTAGCAACCCCAAGGTTACGGGTTCGATTCCAAGCGAATCTATAAACATTTAATTTGTATATAAAACTTGATGTTTATAACCATGTTAATATATTTAATTAAGGAAGTTGGTGTTTGGGTCAATATTGAACCAAACTTTAAAGCATCCTTATGGCCTTCAGGTAGTGTACAGTATGGTGCTAGCAACCCCAAGATAATGGGTTTGATTCCCAGGGAATGCATAAACTTATAAAGTATAAACTTGATCTATATAATCATGTTAATATATTTAAGAAATTTGGTGTTTGTGTCTATGTGAACTAGTCTTTAGTTTATCAAAGCATCATTTTGGCCTCTATAGTGCACAGCATGGTTCTAGCCACCCCAAGGTTATGGGTTTCATTCCAAGGGAATCCATAAACATTGAATTGGTATATAAAACTTGATGTTTATACTCATGTTAATATATTTAAAGAATTTGGTGTTTGGGTCTATGTGAACTAGCCTTTAGTTTACCAAAACATCCTTATGGCCTCTAGTAGTGCACAGCATAGCTCTAGCGAACCCAAGGTTATGGGTTGGATTCCTAGGGAATCCATAAACAAGAGTTTGTATATAAAACTTGATGTATATAATCATGTTAACATATTTAAGGAAGTTGGTTTGTTGTTGAACTAGCCTTTAGTTTTCCAAAGCATCCTTTTGACCTTCAAGTAGTGTACAGTATGGCACTAGGAAGCCCCAGGTTATGTGTTCGATTCCCAGGGATAATTAACTCGCTTTGCTTAAGCGAGTCTGCCAAATGCATGAATATAAATAAATTTAAAACAGAACAAAAAGGTCATATGGCCTGTATTTAGAACAGAGTGAGAGAAAACACACAAGCCCAAAAAGGAAGGCTAAAATTACAGAGGCAAACCCACTATTTCCTCAAGTGGTTAAAGAGCTACGTCTCTATGGCAGAGAGGGAAAGCCCATGACAGAAATTAGATTATGTAGATGACTGACGCTGTATGTTCCACAGAATGGCACGCTATGCAGTGATGACCGTTCATCTCCTGCCTTTATTATCTCAAGACA